CGGAATGGGTGGGGCGGGAGGGTGGGCGGAGCCAGAAATTTCGTGTGGAGCTGTGGGACTGGGGCGGGGCTATGGGCGGAGCCACCCCGCGGGGGCGGGGCCCTTTCCCCCCCCACCAGCCTCAGCACCAGCAAGATCCTCTTTGTGGCTCCTGGACTTACTCCTGAGTCAGATCCCTCTCTGTGGGAGGTGGTTTTCCAGATCCGAGGGGGCTCCACCACCCCGTCAGAGGGCACACAGGGGAGTGTGTCCTCAAGCCCCGGCTCGCCATCCATCATTCAGATACGCCTGTGGGGTGGGGAGGTGGGCGTGCCAAGTTCTCCACCCCCAGCGGAAAGGGGCTTGAGTCCACAGGGGTCCTAGCACAGCTTGCCCACGCCCTGACCTCTGCGTGGATCTTTCTTTAAAGGTTCAGTTTAAGAGTTTATAAAAATGAAACATCCCCAGGCTTCATTTTTAACGTACTGGGACAATAAGACAGAAAAGGGGGACCACTATATTCCAACAGTAGACACACGCATCAGAAGAGGACGATGCAGCTTTGCAGAACACCCCCCCCCCCACACCCCCGCAAGCCAGGCTAACGGGGGAAAACTCCATATAACTGTGTACAGTTGTCCTGGATCCATCCCTCCTATCCTCATGGTCCTGGCGGCCAATTACAGCGCCAAGCTCAATACAGTTCAGTCACTCAGTCGTGTCCGACTTTGCGAACCCATGGACTGCAGCACGCCATGCCTCTCTGCCCATCACCAACTCCCGGAGTTTACCCAAACTCCTGTCCATTGAATCAGTGATGCCATCCAACCATCTCATCCTCTGTTGTCCCCTTCTCCTGCCCCCAATCCCTCCCAGCATCAGGGTCTTTGCCAAGAGTCTGTTCTTCGCATCAGATGGCCAAAGTATTGGAGTTTCAGCTTCAGCATCAGTCCTTATTCAGGACTGACTTCCTTTAGGATGGACTGGTTGGATCTCCTTGCTGACCAAGGGACTCAAGAGTCTTGTCCAACACCGCAGATCAAAAGCGTCAATTTTTCCACCCTCAGCTTTCCTTACGGTCCAACTCACATCCAAACATGACCACTGGAAAAACCACAGCTTTGACTAGATGGACCTTTATCGTCAACATCATGTCTCTGCTTTTTAATATGCTGTCTAGGTTGGCCGTAGCTTTTCTTCCAAGGAGCAACCATCTTTTAATTTCATGGCTTTAGTCACCATCTGCAGTGATTTTTGGAGTCCCCCAAAATAAAGTCTGTCACTGTTTCCATTGTTTCCCCATCTACTTGCCATGAAGTAGTGGGACCAGATGCCATGATCTTAGTTTTTTGAATGTTGAGTTTTAAGCCAGCTTTTTTACTCTGCTCTTTCACTTTCATCACGAAGCTCTTTAGTTCCTCTTTGCTTTCTGACATAAGGGTGGTATCATCTGCATATCTGAGGTTATTGACATTTCTCCCAGCAATCTTGATTCCAGCTTGTGCTTCATCCAGCCCGGCATTTCTCATGATGTACTCTGCACAGAAGTTAAACAAGCAGGGTGACAATATACAGCCTTGACATACTTCTTTCCCTATTTGGAACCAGTCTGTTGTTCCACGTCCAGTTCTAACTGTTGCTTCTTGACCTGCATACAGATTTCTCAGGAGGCAGGTGAGGTGGTCTGGTATTCCCATCTCTTGAAGAGTTTTCCACAGTTTGTTGTGATCCACACAGTCAAAGGCTTTAGCATGGTCAATAAAGCAGAAGTAGATGTTTTTCTGACTGTTGCTTCTTGACCTGCATACAGATTTCTCAGGAGGCAGGTGAGGTGGTCTGGTATTCCCATCTCTTGAAGAATTTTCCACAGTTTGTTGTGATCTACATAGTCAAAAGCTTTGGCATAGTCAATAAAGCAGATGTTTTTCTGGAACTCTCTCGCTTTTTCGATGATCCAACAAATGTTGGATGTTGGCAATTCGATCTCTGGTTCCTCTGCCTCTCTAAAACCAGCCTGAACATCTGGAAGTTTTCGGTTTTCATACTGTTGAAGCCTCACTTGGAGAATTTTGAGCATTACTTTGCTGGAGTGTGAGATGAGTGCAATTGTGTGGTAGTTTGAACATTCTTTGGCATTGCCTTTTCTTGGGATTGGAATGAAAACTGACCTTTTCCAGTCCTGTGGCCACTGCCGAGTTTTCCAAATTTGCTGGTGTCTTGAGTGCAGCACTTTCACAGCATCATCTTTTAGGACTTGAAATAGCTCAGCAGGAATTCCATCACCTCCACTAGCTTTGTTCGCAGTGATGCTTCCTAAGGCCTTCAAGAAAATTAGAGATACCAAGGAACATTTCATGCAAAGACGGGCACAATGAGGGACAGAAATGGTATGAACCTAACAGAGGGAGAAGATATTAAGAGGTGGCAACAATACACAGAAGAACTATACAAAAAAGATCTTCATGACCCAGATAACCACGATGGTGTGATCGCTCACCTAGAGTCAGACATCCTGGAGTCCGAAATCAGCAGGTGGACCTTAGGAAGCATCAGCACCAAGGCTGTTCCTAAAAGCTAAGCCCACCCCGTGCCCCAGGGCCCGTGTGTTAGTTTCCTATGCGCACAGTCACCACAGATGTAATGACTTCAGGCCAACAGCCATCTTGATTTCTCACCTTCCTCCAGTCAGGTGCTGGCCTGGCTCAGCTTGTCCCCTGCCAGAGGGCTTCCCAGACGGATCAAGGTGCCGGCCAGGCTGGGGTTCACTGAGACTGGGTCCTCCTCCGGGCTCACTACTGCTGGCTGGTGTGGGATGGAGGCCCTGGCTCCCTTCTGGCTGTCCATGGGGGCCTCCCGTAGCATGGCCCCACTTTCTCACAGCCCAGGAACACGCCCTTCCGCTGCTGTGACCAAGTCTGATCAGAGAAGTGAGTGCCCCACCACCCCTGTGCCATGTAATGTAACCCAATCAAGGGGGCAGCTACCCTGCTGAACCACAGGCTCTGCCCATTTTCAAGGGAAGGAGATCACCCGGGCTGTGTGCCCCTGGGGACAGCCTTCTCGAGCAGTCTCAGAATTCTGCCCGCTGCGGCCTGCAGGTGTCTCGGCATTCCTGAGGGCTTCTGATCAACAGCCCTGAACTCTTCATTAATTATGAATTTTGCTTAGCAACCATTGCCAAGCAACAACTCTTCAGAAATAAACGTTCAAAGAATTTGTTGGTTGCTGCGTGGTGGAGATGAGGAAATGAGTGTCAGCGGGTGCTGGGCTGGCCAGCATGTGGGCAGCCCTCTGGCCAGGCTGGGCGAGCTTGAGAAAGTCCCATTACCCCCTCTGGATGTCAGGTTCTCACTTGTCAAACTGGGATTACATCTGAACTCTCTGACTTGAAAGATGAGCAGATCCAGGGCTGCAGGTGGGAGGGGTCCCCAAGTGCATCAGAATGACTGATCCCAGCAGACATGTTCTTCCTTCCACACTCACTCAGCACCCGCTTTGTGCAGGGCCCAGGGACCCCTCATCATTCACTCCCTCCTTCAGTGATTCACAACTAAGCACCTGTCATGCGTCCAGCATTGGGACAGTTGCATTCAGGAGAGGGGAAAGAATGAACAAAATAAATGAGTAATTATATAGCATGTCAGCTGGTGAAGGTTCAGTGAAGATAATTAAAGCTGGAAGTGGGCAGAGGGCGTTATCAGGGGGACGCGGGGCTGTAATTTTAAACAGAGTGCTAAGGGAAGGTTTCGCTGGAAGAGGAAGCTAGCAAAGCAGGCAGTGCAAGCACCTGGGGCCAGCGTCCAGGCGGGGGCACCAGCAGGCACAAAGGCCCTGAGGCACAGGAGTCCTGCCTGACTAGCCGGTGGCAAGCTGGGAGGCAGACCCATCTGAAGGAACAACCCCGGGAAACCCCGCAGGAGTGAGGAGGGGCAGGTGTGCCTCCCCTTTGAGGCAGCCTCCCCTCCCACGACAACCCCGAGGAGGATTCTGCCATAGGACGGCAGGCCGGGAAGGAACGTTGTTCCCTGAGAACAGAAGAGCACCCAGAAACAGCCCCACACGTCCGCAGCAACTCCGTTCGTAACCAGGGGATGCTGCAGGTCAGCAGGACAGGACGGTATTTGTTTTAAGTGTAGATGCGTTGTACACACACGCTGATGTTGTATCACATAATTTCATAACCGAAAGCAAAGAAAACTGCAGCGTGCATTTGCTGTCATACAGGTTGAGAACACACAGGAGAAGAATGCTGTGAGGCTTCTTCATGTTGGTCACTCACTGGTGACACCCACCTAGCCCTCTGGTCCTCCTCCAGATGAAGCCCGCAGCTGCCACTGGCCACCGAGGGTGGTGGCCTAGGACACGCCTGCGGGTACCCTTGCTTCCCCCTCGCCAGGAGGGCCCGCGTGTGTGCTCCTGCGGCGCTGCCGGCACCACGGCGGGAAGGGAGCCTGGGAGGCAGGGCATCGCAGAGCAGGAGGCAGGGGAGTGGGCATCCCCCCGCCTCCCCCGTGATGCTCGCGGTGCGAGTCCTGCCTCACAGGCCGTGCACTGACAGCGCGCGCTGTGGCCCACGAGCCTCAGCTGGCCACCGCTGGGATGCTGTCCGTCCTACAGACACGGTGGTCCCCGTTACCAGGTAACTGTCCACACGACACTCATTAAAATAAAAGCGGTGCTGGTGCTGGACTGTTAAGAAAACCCTGTCCAGTGTCCACTCCTGGGCATGCTGGGGAGGAAGGGGAGAGTCCAGTGAACTGATCTGCAGGGACAAACGCCTGCCAGAAGGGGAGCCCCCAGCCAGGACTCTGAGGGGAGTCAGGCGTATGGGGGAAGCTCCGGGTCACGGGGGAGGCCCCATGGCCGATGCAACCGTGAGGAGTGGAGACAGGAAAATAACTTTAGGGTCAAAACGTGAGAGACCTATCAAAATCCTACTGCGACGTTCAAGGAGGGCAAATTTTATGTTTTTAAAAGTCTCTGATTTGTGTAGAGATTCAAACAGAGCCAAGACAGCAGTGTCTAGCAGGGGTCTCTCGGGCGAGTTTAATGAGCAGGCAGGAGGGACATGCAATTATCTCGTGGTTGGTCTGCGTGTAAACAGGCCTCAGAGCTCTCCGCCTCTCGCTCTGCGCCCAGGCCTGCCCGACGGGACAGGCGTCTGGGTCTGCTTGCACGCGTCCTGAGTGAGGCAAGGTGAGAGAAGACCAGCAGAGGCACACGCTGCTTGGGCCCCAGGCCGCAGTGCTGGCATCTACAGACCTGAAAATGTCACAGCTTTTAGTAAAAGGAGAGGGCTCTAAAGTCTCACCAAAAACAGAACAGTCAAGTAATTACACTACTTCCAGGTTATAGAGTACTACACAGCTACTAAAAAGGAGAGGCATGGACTCTGTGGGAGAAGGCGAGGGTGGGATGGTTTGAGAAAGAGCACTGAAACATGTATATCACCATATGTGAAACAGATCGCCAGTCCAGGTTCTATGTATGAGACAGGGCGCTCAGGGCCGGTGCACTGGGATGACCCTGACGGATGGGATGGGGAGGGAGGTGGGAAGGGGTTCAGGATGGGGGACACGTGGACACCTGTGGCTGATGTGTGTCGATGTATGGTGAAAGCCACCACAGTATTGTAAAGTAATTAGTCTCCCATTAAAATAATTTTTTTTTTTTTAAATAAAAGGAAGGGGCAATGGGACTTCCCTGGTGGTCGAGTGGTCAAGACGGCGAGCTTCCACTGCAGGGGGCACTGGTTCTCTCCCAGGTCAGGGAACTAAGATCCCGCATGCCTTGTGGTGTAGCCAAAAATTCAGAAAACAACAGAAAGGAAGGGGCAGACCTTCGAGGACTGGCATGGGAGGAAGTCGGGGTCGGGAGGAGAGCGGGTCTGCTGCACCCTGCAGCCACTGCGGTCCCGTCAGGGCGGTGCTACAGAGCTGTGAGGGCGACCACCAGGGAAGGCAGGACTAGGTGGGCCCCGTCTCCACGCAGACCCCACAGCCTGGCGACCCAGCAGGAGCTCTGCAGCTGAGACGGGCAAGCCTGTGCTCCCGGACCGGCTCCCCAAGAGAAACGATTTTGCCTCAGAACCTGATGCCACCTGCTTACTCTCCCGGCAGGCAGGGCTCTAGAAAGGGATCCATGTGGTGCAGTCACAGTCTGGGTGGGGAGTGTGCCCACATGCGTGTGTGCTTTGGGTCTGTGATGACCCACACGCACCCACAAACACGACACGCACACTCCTGCCAGTTAACAGTGACATCTGGGAAGTGACAGTGGTAGCAGGTGGTGAGAAAGTGTCACCTTTTCCCTTTTACTTGACATGTTCCTGGAACGTTTAAAGGATTTTTTCTATATACTAGTTTTATATTTATAAAATAATTGAGGGATTTTGGATAAAGGTGATAGACTGATCATATGAGTTTCTTTCTGCTTTCACCCAAGACCATACTAAAGGAATTTAAGATGTTTAAGCATCTGAACCCACACAGGAAGCATCACCGGCAATGTGGTGGCTAGAGGTTTTCTCACCTGACTTACAGGCCAGGAAAGTCTCGACCTCAGGGGCTGGTGAGGAGAGCCAGTGAGACTCCAGCAGGAAAGGACAGGGTGCCAGGAAGAAAGAGGGCTGGACAGTCTCCACGCACCCCAGCCATCCCTATGCGGCCTGTGCCTGACTCCTGGCGGGCGCCACCCTCAGGACAGGACTGCAGACTTGCTCTGTGGGGTGCGGAGTGGGTAGGTGAGTGCCCAGGGCACAGGGGCGAGGCCAGGGCTGACGCAGAGTGGCCACCCCCAGACTCGCCTCCCCACACACGAGCAGCAGGAAGGAGGCTGTCCACCTCCTCCACCCAGTGGAAGATCAGACTTCCGGCATTCCCCCAATAAAACCCTGCCCCTACCGGCTCACCAATTAAACCCCAGCCTGAAGCACAGAGCGTCAGTTGGCTCAACTGTGAATGGAACGCCAAGGATGACCAGACAGATGCAGAAAGCCCAACATGAAGGACAGAGAACACGATGACCACAGAAGAGGAACAGAAGCAACCAAAGCGAAGCAGGAAACGGACAGAGACCTTCCAAAAAATGCTAATTAGTTTCCTTATGGAGACACGAGAAATGCTACATGCAGTCCAAAGAACAACACTATGCTCCTTTTAAAAAACAACAGTACCGAATGCTGGTGACCATGTGGAGCAACAGGAACTCTCACCTGCTGGTGGTGGGAATGCAAAGCTTTCTTGGAATGCTAGAGATTTCTTACAAAGCTCAACATAATCTTCCCATATAATCCAGCAATCACGCTTCTAGGTATTTACCCAACTGAGTTGAAAACAAATGTCCAGACAAAAACTATTGCGATATTTAGAATTGTTAAAAACTGGAAGCATTCAAAATATTTGTTAATAAGTGCATGGATAAACAAATGTGGTAAATGCATACAACAGAATATTCAGTGATAAAAAAAGAAATGAGCTATCGCGCTACAAACACAAATACGTACATATATAAACCTTAAAAGCCTACTGCTAACTGAAAGGTGCCAGTATGAAAAGATTACACACAGCTGATCTCAAATTCACGACATTCTGGAAAAGACAGAACTACAGAGACAGTGCAAAGGTCAGTGATTACTAAGTGCTGACATTTTTAGGTGAAATTATTCTGCATGAGACTGTAGTGGTGGATACAAGACTATATGCACTGTCAAAACCCACAGAATGTACAACACTATGTGTAAACTAGGGACTCCAGTTAACAATAACGCACTAACACTGGCTCATTAAGTGGAACACACACACCACTAGTGCAAGACGCTAAGAGAACCTAAGCGTGAGAGGGGCTTCCCAGGTGGCTTGGGAGTAAAGAATGCGCCTGGGTTCAATGTCTGGGCCGGGAAGATCCTGCGAAGGAGGAAATGGCAACCCACTCCAGTATTCCTGCCTGGAAAATCCCATCGACAGAGGAGCCTGGTGGCTGCACAGTCCACAGGATCACAAAGAGTTAGACATCACTGGGCACACATGAAAAGTATGAGAAAGGCAGATGATATGGGAACTCTCCACACGATTCACTCAATTTTTCTATAAATCTAAAACGTCCAAAAACATAAATTATTAATTTTTTCAGATGACAGCTAGAAAAAAATGCACTTCAACCTCACCTGTTATATAAAAATTAACTCAAAATGGATCATGGAATTTAATATAAATGTAAAACTATAAAACTTCAGGGAAAAAAAACAGAAGAAAATTTTCAGTATTGAGAGCTAGTGCTTAAGACTTGTCACCAACAGCATGATCCATAAAAGGAAAAATTGATAAATTGGGATTCATTAAAATCAAACATTTTTGCTTACAAAGGACCACATTAACAGAATGAAAAGAAAGGCTACAGGCTGGGAGAAATAGCTGCAAGCCACAAGTCCAACAAAAAATTAGTTATCTAGAATATATAAAGAACTCTCCAAGTAAAAACCCAAACAACCCAATTAGAAAATGGGCAAAAGACATAAACAGTTCAACGAGGAAGACATACAGATGGCAAGTAAGGACACAAAAAGATGTTCAGTACCATTACCATTAGAAAAATGCAAGTTAAACTGCAATGAGATAAACCTATCACAGCAGCTAACATTTTAAATCATGATAAAACCAAATGCGGGTGACAATGCAGTGAAATCTTATTACTTTTACCCTGCTGTGAAATGGTGCGGTCTTTCAGGAAAACAGTGGCTGTTTCTCATAAAACTGAACATGTAAATATCATCAACTGCATCATGCATTTGTTACAGAGAAATGAAAACGTGTGTTTCTGCAACAATCTGAATATGAATATTCAGAGCAGCTTTACTTATAAGCCCCAAACTGAAATATCTCAGAGGTACTTCAACAGGTAAATGGTTAAACAGACTGTGGTCCATCTGTACCATGGAATTCTGCTCAGCAATAAAGGAGCAGACTACTGACACAGGGACAACCAGGGTGACTCTCCAGTAGATTACACTGAGTGGAAGAAAGCCAATCACAAAAGCCTTCACACTGCATGATTCCATTCACATAAACTCTTGAAATGACAAAATTACAAAACTGGATGAGAGATGAGTGACTGCCTAGGACCAGGGATGGGGGGAGAGGAGGCTGTAAAGGGTGGTGCAGGGATCCCGGTGGTGAACATTCTCTGTTCTGACTGCATTAATGTCAGCATCCTGGTTGTAACACTTTCCTACGTCATCAGTGGGAAACTGGGTAAAAAACACAGGTCTCTCTGCATTATTGCTTATAATTGCATGTGGCTATCTCCAGACAGTCTCATTGACTCACCAGGAAAGACCCTGTTGCTGGGAAAGATTGAAGGCAGGAGAAGGGGCTGACAGAGGATGAGATGGTTGGATGGCATCACCAACTCGATGAACATGAGTTTGAGCAAGGTCTGGGAGTTTCTGATAGACAGGGAAGCCTGGCGTGCTGCAGTCCATGGGGTAGAAAAGAGTCGGACAGGACTGAGTGACTGAACTGATCTCAAGATAAACAGTTTAATTAAAAATATAAAACTATGACAATGCTGTTTTTAAAAAACATCTATGCGAGGACTGGAAGATAAAGTTGAAGAAACCTGGTTAAGAAGTAGGAACAAAAGGAAAAGGAGATGGAAAATAGGAGAGAAAAAAAAAATCCCAAAGAATTAGTCCAGATGGCCCCTCATTTCTTAACTAGAGGCCCAAAAAGGCAACAGAGAAGAAACAAGGAGATAAAAATTGTTTGGATGCCAGGATTGGGGAAGCCATGTAGAACCGAGCCAGCTCGTGCTGAGTCCCAGAAAGGCTGGAAATCAGAGACTCCGGGTTCTGTGGGGCGGGGGCTGGCTGCTGGGTGTCCTTGCTCCCCACCCATCTGCACAGCCAGGGCACCCCCTTCCCCACCCCTAGAAGATGACAGATGTATTCTCATGGAGATGAGGCAGAGGCTCCCAGGGGCAGCCATGAGGCTCCTAACTGAGGGAGTGGGGAGCAGCAGATAGTCTACACACGGGGTCACGAGATTCCAAACCCCACACGCCACGCACTCAGAGCGCACTCACCAGGGGGAATGCGCGGGGTTACCACAGGAGGAACACCCGTCCACAAGACCCACCCCAAACACAGTCTCATGCGTACGTTTTTAACTATGTGAAGTATAATTCATGCACAGTGACACGCCCACATCACCCGTGTCCGGCTGGATAGACTTTCACCAACTCAGCACACCTGTCCCCATGTCCCAGCAGCCCCTCATCCCCGGCTGGCCACACCAGGTGCTGACATCTGGTGACACAGACTCCTTCTGCTGTTTTCAGGGTTCTGTAAGTGGAACCACGCGTGTGCACTGCTTCTGCTGAACGTCACATTTGTGAGAACTGCCTATAGGAACATGTGTACAGATCACTGTCACTGCAACAGAACACCCACTGTGGGATACACTGCTCCATCCACCCTACCATCCACGGGCACTGGGGTGACTTCCAGGTTCAGCTCTTAGATACTCACGTGTTTAATCAGCTTTTAGTGCCTCCCATTTAAGTATGAATAGACAGGTAAGGATCACCAAACACGGAAGACAGAGGGTCTTCCAACACAGGCCGCAGAGCAAAACTTGAAAGTGAAACTGAAATGAGTATCTTCTGAGCAATACAGAAAGGTCCATAAAGGAGACAACAAAGGAAACTCAGGGAGCAACTTCTAAGGAGTGCTCAGAAAGTAAATCTGTGGGAGCACAGATTTTACAATTAGGATGGTTGGAAGACAAATTTGAGGAAATTTTCCAGAGAGTAGATAAATGGACAAAGGGAAAACAAGAAAACCAGGCTGTGGATCCAAGATGTCCAGTGTGTGAAAAACAGGAATCAGGGAGACTAGAGAAAACTCAGCACAGATAACAATAAAAGAGAACATTCCAGAACCAAATAACCTTAGTTACCACACTGAGAGGCCTTGTGAAGGGCCCAAAGAATGAAAAAAGACCCAAATTAAGACACATCCACACCACAAAGGCTTGCGTGGGGCCAACACAGGGCACATGAGGTAGGGAGACCAGTGGCGTCCCCTTTCTCAGAGCAACACGGAAGCTGGGGGAGCCCCATATACTGAGGAAAAACATACTCCTACCTGGATTCAACACCCAGCCATGTTATTACCAAGGATAAGTGCAAAACATGCATTTTAAAGGGTGACATAAAACGCAGCATTTATGAGCACCACAACCTCAAAAGTCCTGCCTCCTCATACACACTTAGGATGCGCCCTGGAGGAGGCATTTGCCTACACGAGGGCACAGATCGAGGAGAGGGGCGTGGGGACCCCAGATGGGGGTGCACTCAGGACAAAGGGAACGCAGCACCGGCCAGGCTAGCACCCTGGGCCCCAGTTTAAGTTGGTGGATCACCTAATGTGTTTGAATAATAACAATAACAAATATAGGGCTATTCCATGGGGGGGGGGGGATGCATAAGGAAACAATGTGATCAGAGATACTATGAACAGGGCACAGGATTTTTGTTTTATGCTTGATGTGCTAGAATCTGAATTTTTAAACTATACACATTTTATTATGTTAAAAAACAAGTACAGAAAAGGTCTCTTCACAATTCAATAAAATGAGGTAGAATCAATATAAAGGCCCTTGGCCTGGAAATTTTAAACCTCTCTTTTAAACAACATTCAGATTAAAAAAGAAATCAA